TGCATGTGTCTTCTCCCCCGGTAGAAGAGAATAAAGCCGAATTTTAAGCGGAGGATTTGCAGCACAGTATGTAAAATACCTCCGCAGGAGAGACCCCGGGTTTGCAGTCCAGGAATTACGATCCCACAGTCCAGGATTTACGCTCTGATGCCAAACTATTATCTTTCTTCCTTACCAAGAGACGTTGAGCCACAGATTTCAAAAGACTTGGATTAAATCCTATATGAGGTTTATAAATTTATTACAGGCTTGATTATAATTTTTGCTTACGCATAGTAAACACGTTATTGCTCTTCCTGCTTGCTTGTTTCAATAAAGTCTGATTCCTTATGACCCCTTGCAATATTACACAGAAGCGATTCTTGTTCACTGTGTTGCAATCACATCACTCTCTCTTGTCCTACTTGCGCAGGAGAATCATTGCTATCCTTGGAAGATTCAGGATGACCAACTTATGTGTAAGAGTCTATGTCTTTTGGCAAAATAAAAAATAGCGAGCCTGTCTTGGAGTATTAGTATTTTAGAGAGAAGATCTTGTAGTAAACATGTGAGCAAATGTTTTAAAGTGTATCCAATTTGTGGAATTCCTATCAGTGAAATGTACTCTTCTCCCTTAAAAAAAAAAAATTTAAAAAAAAATCTAACTTAGTGGAATAGTGGTTTGAAAAATTTGGTGATGGCATTTCATGTTCTCATTACAATGCACTTCAATCCAAACTCTCTGATCGGATAAGCAGGTGGTAATATTTTGAAGTCAGATAGGTGCAGAGGGAAATAAGTGATTCTGACAATTTGCACCCTCTGGAATAAACCAGCACCCCTGTGCACACTACTGCGTGTATGTTTGTATTCCTTTTCCCATTTGAAACATCCACTGACTTGGTCAGAAGCAGAAAGCAGATCTACAGACATCACGTTTTCAAAGCTATTTAGAGAATATATAGTAGATGTCAAAATAAGCCTTCAGAGTGGCTTTAAAAAACAAGGCTATTAAGGTTGAAATCTAGAATATTTTGTGGAGAGTTCTAAAACTCTACAAGTTCCCTTGCTGTTTGAGACTTGACTTTACAAAAAAAAGGAGCTGCATGAAGGGTTCTCGCGGTCCTAAATGCAAAGCATGGGAAGAAAAAACTACACACGCCCCCAAAGCCTTGAAAATAACGAATCAACATTCTGTGAAAAACTTCTAAAAATGAGAATGTAAACCAGAAGTTGTTAATTGTACCTTTTGTTTTAGATGTCTGGTTTGGGGTAAAGCCCGGGATAACGCTCCTCTTAAGCCGAGAAGGAGGTCCCCTCCGACTGTTTTTTTCCTAGCTTTTTGACACTCCCTGAAATATCAGACCCGTTTAAAATACCAAGTTTAGCATAAAACTAGAAACACCCACAAAATCATTTGTAAAAATATTGTAGAGAGGTAATGACTTTGCTTTTTTTTGGTTTTTTTGTTTTTTTTTTTTCTTTACAGCAACCCTACAGGGGAAAAAGTACTTTTCAAGGTGACTGATGAAGACTTGAGGCAGAACCCCCTTCCGCCAAAGCCTGAACACTCATGAGCTCGGAATTTTCCCTACGGAAAGCCGAGGCACGGCTATAAACTAACTGCAAAGCGCCCGGCACCACTTCTTGCTTGCTGCCCCACTCAGAAGCCACGCGCCCTGTGTCGAGAGCCGAACCCCCGCAGGCTGCCCAAATCCCGCTTGCTACCTGGTTTGTAGGAGAGAGAATAAAATAACGCAGCTGTAACCAAGCTATTTGTGTGCAGCCCTGACTGTCTCTTGCAGAGGCAGAGCACCCCGAGGGAAAGGTGAGGGTGGGGAGGGGGTGTGGGAGGGAGAGACCCTCGTGGCTGCGGGTTTGTTCAGTGCTTTGCAAAAAAAAAAAAAAAAAAAAAAAAAAAAAAGAAAAAGAGGATTTTCTGATATTTTTTAAAATCCCTATCTGTTGGGCCATTTTACAACGCGTAAGCCATATCTGACTTCAGTCTATCGAAGACACCCAAATTCTCAAGTTCTATTTTGCCTCCATCTCTTCTGCAGAGCTATCCACAGCTTCAAAAATCAAACCATTTTAGCCCAAAGGCGGCCCAGACCCAAACAGTCGCTTGGGTTTGAATGCTCAGATTGCATGTCATGCTGCAAACTCTGCTTTGGCCCGAAAAAAAAAAAAAAAAGCAAGCTCAGGGTTGTTTGTTTTCTGGAGATGCCAAAGTGCCTTGGACTGTGACTTGGCAGGAGGACACTTCCTCCTCTGTTAAAGCAAGTAAATATATTTGCATGAGACAATGGATCGGTTTTACCAGAAACCTTAAGGGCGAAGACAGTGGCTTGGTTAAAGAAACTGTTCACCCACCCTGGACTAACATTTCTTCCCCAAGATGCACAGGCGGTTGCAAGTCACCGTGGTTGGTTTCTACCAGGACTTCCTCCACGCGTGGCCATGCCGCTGTCCTCCTGCGCGCCCTCCGCCAGCCCGGGCTCTCTAAAACACGTCTCCCTGCAAACTGCAGGCTCGAGACAAGGCGAGTGGGCAAGCTGACACACTGGCAGCCAAAAGGAAAAGTGCCCGGAGAGCGGGAGGTCCAGGAAAGCAAACTCACCTGTGCCTATTGTGGCCAAGCGAGCCCAACGCCGTGCCCAAGAACAGAGTAATGCCAAGAGCAGCCAGAGAAGCAGCACTGGCAGGAAGGGATCAGCGTTAGCTCCCATCTAGGAGAGACGGTGGCTGTTCTCTCAGTTCAAGATCCCCACTTGGTCCCCCCGTGGAGGCACAGCAACAGCCTTCCTCACCTCAAAAGCTCCTTCCTCACCTCAAACACTGCGCATTCATGGAAAGAAAGGAGCTCGACACCCTTAGCTAGAGGAAAGGTACTTCCAAGGCTGGCTTTAAGTTCTGACAAATTTGGTAAATGTCCCGACTCCAGGTCGGGATCTCGCTGCTCTCGGGCACGGCAGGAACGCCTGGAGCTGCCATCCTGTTTAAGCTCAATGCCTTTCACCGAGAGCACATGAGAAAAGCTTTGTGTGATCCCCTAGTTAGAAGAAATTACTGCTTTTGCATCATTAGTACAAGGTAAACCAAGTTAATGATTCATCCCACATAATACAAATACTTTCATCTACATTCATTTTACTTTCTCAGAAGGTTCCGTTTCTGACAACCCCACACTTCACAGGAAATTTGTATTTGGGCCTCTGACACACCTATAGCAGGAGAGAAATGAGGTTGAAGATGGCAGCAAAGCTCCTGTTAATTATTTTTCATTTTAAAGAGTGTCCTCGTTCTGCACAGACATGACCAACCCTTGCCCACCCAGACTCCCGCTCTCCCACGAGGCAGAGGGGAGGCGCAGGGGCTGGGGGGAGCAGGGAAGGCAGACAGACCTACTGCACCAGGGGAGCCAACCAGGGGCTTCTTAGGGACATTGCTTTCCAAAAAAAAAGCTTTAAAAAAACCCCAGTCAACCAAAAGCTTAAGAAAAACCCAACCAAAACCAAACAACTAACAAACTCCTGGTTTTGCCCTACAACGTTATTCCACTGTTGGTTGGGAGTATCGTAAGACCAGAAGGCAGGTCAGTCCTGGCAGCAGGGGGTCTCCTGCCCGGGGCGATGGGAAACGCTGTCACAACTCAAGGGCGGCGTTGCAATGGCAGCAGAGGAGGGGGCTGGCTGGACCCTCGCGTACTCCATTAGACCCAGACCCCATAAGGCTCCTCAGTGTCTTTGTGCCAGCTGTAGGCACCCATCTTCAAGCCAAGCAATCACAGCCGCCCTAGCTCTCTGTGTCCTGTCCACGCAGAAACCCGTCTCCCAGCTCCCCTGCTCCCAGCAGAGCAGAAGACCTTCCGTGGACCTGACCCCAAGCAGCCACCAGGCTCTTTCCTAAAGGAGGCAGAACGGACCCGACCCCCAGCAGCCACCCTTCCGAAAGGAGGCAGAGGTGCCCGCGGCCGTGTCCGGGAGCCCACCCTTGGGGTGACTGTTGTGCAATGTGTGATCAGGAGGTGGATAACAACCTGCACCCTCCAAGCGAGAGCAGAGCTGGGACGGGCATTGCCTTCCCCGCTCTCACGTGGGGTGCTGCTCACCTGCCAGAGTTTTTGGATGCTATTCCTTTAAGGCACAACAGGTGGAATTGCAGGGCTAGAGGTACGAGGAGTATTTAAAACAGCCTGGCACTGCCAGAGCCCAGTGTCCGGCTGCAGGAGAGACGCGGGACACTCACAGGAGGTCCTGGGGTCGGCCACCGAGACACCAGCAGACCTAGGAGCCGTCAGCCTCAAAGGAAAAGCAAGAAGTACAAAACAGTCTGCAGAAGTAACTTGGAGTGTAAGTAATGCTTCTTCATTGTCATTCTGAAATGCAAAACTTTTGTACTACCACTTTGAGATGGGGAAGGAGAAGAATAGAGGTCTCGAGAGACTTTTAAGGACTGTTCCTCACACGTGTGAAGGGAAGCAGCAGTGCTGAAACAGCAGTGAATAGGTCTTGCTGGTGGGGGGACAGTTTTCTTTAAAAAAAGGTCAGAAGCATAGGATCAGGCTTAGGAATTTTATATTTTCTTATCAGCAGTAGATTTTTAATCTTTCCTTTCTGGAAAAAAAAAAAGGTTAATTGTCATTACAACGTTTGCACTAAGTTTTAACATAGAAAATAACAAATGTTAGTACATAGTTGACTCTAGTTTGACTGAAGTGTAAGCGAATGGGATGTGTCTGGTGTCCTAAAACTGAAACAAGAGAAAGTTGGCAGAGTCCTTCCCCATTTATATCACCAGCGAAGGGCTGGGGGGGTTCTGCACACCTGAATTCTTACTCAGCAAAGGAAACATTCTTATAGGACTCAATACATTTCATCTGAAGTACAGACAAATACCACCTCCTAATAGCAATTGCGCTGCTGCTAATGATACGCACACTGGCGCCATGCATCCATCCAGCAATCGCCGTGGTACAGACTGCGGCTGTACAGCGAGTGCTTTTGGATCTTAACAAGTTCCTGCTCCTTGCAACGTTGGCAGTACTGAACTAGAAAAATAGTTTAAC